TGACTTTGTGTGGGGGGCATGGGAGGTGTATGAGGTGTGTGACAGGCCGGTGGGTGACTTACTGTGTTCTTAGCGTAAAGGCGGCGCTCGTGATGGAAGAAGGCAGATTGAGGCCTTTAGTGATTTCGCGCCAGAGCTTTTTGTTGATAACCTCAACGAGACCACCGCGCGCAACCACCAGATGATACAGTTCGTAGAGGTCCAGCACCTGCTTCGCCATGATCGGGATTCTGTTGACCGGCGTGCCTGTTGCAGGTGGGCCGGGGGGGAGGAGGATGAGGGTAGGTAGGGAATAGCATCAACTATGACGATGACAAGTTCATCATTAATTTATATCACGTCTGGATCAGACAGATCGTGTACATCCTGTGGAATTATGCATTATTAAACGGACCTCGTTGTCAGCATTACTAAACTCCGAGGCTATTAGTTGATCCGGAATAAAAGAAACTACCAAACCCTGATCGGATAATAGGATATAGGAGTGATCGGTGGATGTCACCACAATCATAAGGTGTCATACAAGTTTACTACACTTTGCCTCCAAAAAATGAACTCTAATCTCGTCTCGCCGAGTTGACCACAGCCTTCACCTGGGCCTTACCATGGCCAAAACCGGAATTGAAACCGTGTGCTGCATTGTCTACCTTCAGATGTTTGTGTGTCATACTGTACTGCCCTAGCACAATTCCTGAGGTCTACTCAACTCATTGTCAATTATTAATCATTCATAATTGTATGCAATCTAGCGAGAATAGAGCTGAGTCCGAACTTCTCGCCACAATGGATTATTTTCAGCAATCTCATTATACTATTTTATATTTATAAGTAGGCATCCTCCTATGTCGTTTAGGGTGATAAAAGGACTTGTAGTTGAATTTTCCCACAATGATATGAATAAACATTGAATTTCACCTAGCTTTGGGAATACCTTTGAGAAAACAAGGTTATGCGAAATTAAAGGCAAACCTCATGTCTACTCATATTAATAGGTGAAAATTCAACTACCAGTCGCCTTATCACCCTAAACGAATAGGATGAATACATTTCAAAATACTAGATAAATTGTCTTTAAAATACAAACTTTTATTTTGCAACCAGTATTTAAGAGAAAATTTAACCAAACCGTTCTAGATTAACTATTTAACCCAAACTGACACCTGCTTGAAAAATGGAGACATCAAAAATATCATACTTTTCTGATTCAATTGCAAACTTACTATTTAACCGTTTTGCTTAATAATTAAAAATATAAACAGGTTAGACAATTCTGGAATGGGTCAGCCTGAACGTGGCAGTTAAATGGATATAGAGCAAGCTAATGAGATCGAGCCACGAGTTCCTTTGTGATACACTTTCGCACGAAACAGGAGCAGTTTATACGAAGAATAACTGGGTTTCGATTAATCTCATGAGATAACATTGTTAAAGGGACTTTCATTTCATATGAAAGTGAATGTAGAAGAGATTCGTTAGTCGATCTCACCAGAAGAGGATGACTGAATCCCGTTGTAATGCAGCCATTTGGCTTCACAACGACGCTAAAGTCGACTCAGTTCACGAGACATTCTCCCTCGTTTCGGGTGAAAACGGGCTGAGCTTTCGTGCATCATTTGATGGACAGCATCAAAGTTGGAACTCATTCTTGTAAAAGTCTCGAGTTGACACTAGGGCAAGAACGAGGGGAGGAGGTCTCGCATACTGCGTCAGCCTTAATGTCGTATAAAAGCC